GTAGGGAAAGCATAGGACCTACGTCTGCAACTTCAGGAAGCTCCCCTTTGGGGTTGGACTGGCCAGGCCACATTCCGCTCTCTTTGACAGACTCTGTGTTCAGCTTGGATGTACGCACTGCTGACTCTCCACTCCACCTCTTGTAAGTGTCCTGGTCGGGTGAGGTTCCCTGCCGGGCTGTTGTACTGTTTCTCAAGTTTTGCAGTACATAGTTTTCTGCAATCTGGGCTTTCTGCCGCTGCACCACGCTGCACCTATGTAACAGGCTGACATTCTTTCATACTTTTAATGTAGAGTGAAGAAGGACAACAATGGCCAGCACCCAGGTCCTCCATGTACAAGAGAGGCCAGGCTTAAGTGGCGCTATAGACCTGTGTGTGTGATGCACCACAACGTGCTTACTGTGCATTGCGGTGCACTGTGCTGCTAAAAAAAAAATGGTAGTTTGCATTTTTCAATCCGATGTGATGCTTTGGTAACCCATTCATAATGAATAGGCTACCTTAAAAGTGCAATGTAACACATGTTAAAACACTGCTTCAGATTGCTAAATTGTGAAGCAGCCCCAAATGATATTTCCTTTCCTAGAGCACTATGTATCAATTGCCATTGATCATATTGGGTGGCACAGTGGCTTAGGGGTTAGCTCTTCCACCTGGCAATACTAGGGTCGTAGGTTCAAATCCCAGCCACGGCGCCACCTGCCTGGAGTTTGCATGTTCTCCCTGTGCCTGCGTGGGTTTCCTCCAGGTACTCTGGTACTCAGGTACTCTTGTACACCCCTTGAGGGTTAGGGACTGATGTGAATGTACTATATATATATATATATATATATATATATATATATATATATATATATATGTAAAGCGCTGCGTAAATTGACGGCGCTATATAAGTACCTGAAATAAATAATAAATAAATAGAAGGAAGAGCAAGGAGGTAAGTAAAAGTGACAAGCCAAAATGAGCATTGGGACTCCCCCCTCACTGCAAGGGTCACCTTGAAATATCAGGGGGAGCCCCACTTCAAAGGTAGATTTTTCTTTTCCCCAGAGTTTAGCTTTAAAGAGACTAAAAACATCTTTTGGAATTATATTAACATTTCAAAGTTTATGTGAAATTATAGTCATTTGGTTCACAGTACATCTACTTTATTTATGACATTCTCAATATTTTTATTTATTAAGCTGGGTACACATGCATGGTCATTTATTCATATTGAAAGGGTTCTGTGAAGCACCAGATAATTGCATCCAGATGTGACCATTTTTTTTGTAAAGCTAATTCGATCCCCATTTGCAGGAAAGAGTGTGCCAAATGGGAACTGGGGCCTTCTAGACCAGACCGCAGCCTTGAAATGGGTCCAGGAAAATATTGCTTATTTCGGCGGTGACCCCAAGCAGATCTGTGTTGGTGCGGATGGAGCAGGTGCTGATATCTCCAGCCTCCACCTATTGTCAGCAGAGAACAAAGCCATCAGACGAGCTGTGCTAATGGTAAGCCAAAGCATGACAGCATTTAAAGCAGAACCCTACTAAGCCCATTTATATCTAAACTGGTAGCATAGCACAACCCCAGTGTTATTCCAAAAATTTGTGTCATTTGAATTTTTCAGGCTTGAAAAAACAGAATTGCTTTCCTTCTCAATGTCATGTCTATCCATGTTGAAAGGGAAGCAGGTATTGCTTATCTACTTTGCCTGTTCTTCAAATTATTCTATGTGTTTACATTTCTTAGCATTGTATAAAAAAGAGGTAAGACATAGACATAAAGTAATATTATGTACATTTAGTAAATACTGTAAGTTCCATGTGAAAGAAAATATTTATCTGCAGCTGAGTCTTTTAAATAGCCAAGAAGCTCCAATTCCTATTTCTGGCCATGGTATGGATGACCTCAAGCATACACTGTACCCTGGAGCAATCCTGGCATGAGGTATTGCCACTAATGAGACTTGGTATTGCCACAAATTACCTTATCGTTCATTCTTAACCAATCAAAACTGTTAAATGTTCAACCATTTCAAATGGACATGGTGATATGAAGTATACTCCATGATCACTGGTAAGACATTGTCGAGTTTAAAACCATTCTCTCTGACCAACTTCAGAAGCTGAGAAAAAAATAAGAAATATTTAGAGATCTACAGACCTCTGGTGTTAAAAACTATTTTCAACTAAACCAAAGGGGAATTTTTCAAAATTGTTGATTTTTTACAAAGTCTTTGCTGATCCTCCAGTGATTATGTTGGCAGCATTTTGTCACTCTCATCTCTCCTGGGATTCAGTATCAAGTCTTTGAGACCAATCAGGGACAGCTCTACTCCTCGGCACAGCAACCAGTCAGTAGATAGCCCTCCTGATTGTGCCCTGTGTCTTTAAGTCACTCCAAAAGTGCCTCTGTGAATTCTGTATCTCCAGCTGCGCTCCAGTGTGCCCAATGTCATCTAGTGACTCCAAGTGTGCCTCTGTGTGCCCTGTGTTTCCAAAGGCTCTCCATGTTACCTAGGAACTCCAAGTGTGCCTCTGTGGGCCCCATGACTCCAAATGTGCTAGTGTGACTCTAAGTGAATCCCATGCACCCCATGGCATCTAGTGACTCTAATAGCACCTTTGAGACTCTGTGTTTCCAAGAGTGCCCTATGTTATCTAGTGGCTCCAAGTGTGCCTCTGTGCGCCCTGTGTTTCCAAAGGCACTCCATGTTACCTAGGAACTCTAAAGTGTGCCTCTGTGGGCCCAATGACTCCGAATGTGCTAGTGTGACTCCAAGTGAACCCCATGCACCCCATGCCATCTATTGACTCCAATAGCACCTTTGAGACCCTGTGTTTCCAAGGGTGCCCTATGTTTTCTAGTGGCTCCAAGTGTGCCTCTCGGAGCACTGTGATTCCTAGTGTGCCCTAGCGCACCCCAGCATGCCTTGTGTCATCCAATGTTTCCAAGTATGCCTCATGTGCCCCTGCCTTCCCAGATATACCCTTGTTTCTCCAGGAAGCTCCGGCGCCCCTTAGTGAAAACTGTGTCCCCACACAGCCTTCCGATATGCTCCTGCATCATCTGGACAGTCCTTCTCTCAGTGGACAAAGACCACTGTCCATGACACATTTATGGTTTTCCAGGCATGCACAGTAAGCTCATCATCTGTTCCTGTCCTGGTGTCAACCCTTCTCCAATGCCCGTTTCAAGAGAGCATTTATCTACTTTTCTTTTAAAAGATGGGCACACACAGCTCCTGACAACTCCAGATTTCGAAAACCTGTGTGGTTCTCAATCATGTGGTCATGTGATTTCCTGTCACTGAGATCTTTGTATCTGGTGTTGGTGGATGGTTAAATCCAGAGGAAGCCATAGGAAGCCAACAAATGTGCAACAAATGTATTATATACACAACTGACCCCATTACTAAACTCTTGGGTTTATTTGAGAGAAGCATAATACAAGCACAAGATATAGCTTTACAGGAAGAATGGCAACGTATACTGTTTTTGTTACAGCAAACCTCTATATACTGTACATATGGAGCCGGCAAAGGCATTTTTCATTGCAAAGCTTTTTTTTTTTTTTTTTTTTGCTACATTCACATGTTCTTTATTTATAGTGTAGCATGCAGGCTTATTGTAATAGGCATAGTCAGTCATTTTGGATTGCTGCAAAAATCAGGCATTACTATAAAACCAAAACAACATTGATATGGAGCCTGGGGGTTGGGGATATGATGATTTCCATGGTCTTCTTGTACTTGTTAGAGACTTTATTGGCAAATGTTTCTTTCTCCCCCTATCCCCATTCTCACAATTTCTGCTCCATTGTCCGTTCTATAAAATATCATAGCTGGCAAGTGAGAACCACTCATATCACCCAAAGCAGAGGGTGGAGATATTTATCAGGGAGATTTCGCTAACCACGTTCCCAAGACATATGTCAGTGGACAATACAGCCCTGTTAGCCTGCACCCAAAACTCATATATCAGTAATGATAGAGCAAGTTAAAGTCAGAACTTCTGTAAAATGTTGTCTATGTCTCCATTGAGATGTGCCATCACTTTCTGTCCCAGTGACATTGTAAGAAAAATTGAGTGGGAACAGGTTTCATCAGATCAAGAACATTAAAAATCTAATAAAATTGTCTAACCTTTCCTCATTAGATTAAATAACTGTGCTTTTGTTGCTCTCTCTGAGATCCATCCTGTCACTTCCCGTCTCGGTGACACCTCATCACCAAGACAAAAACTGACAGTAAATCTCCCCAAATGAATACAGAAAGCAATAAAAACCTGACAGAGTCTCTAATCCTTTACCACTAATCCAAAACCAAAGAAAATGTTTTAGCTAGAGTTGGACTTTAAGTGACTTTTACGCACTCAAAAAAACTCACATGGATATCTACTTCAGTTCCTTTGAGTTGTCACTTTAGTAAGCAATTTTCTAAGTATTTTCCCAAAAGCCGATTCCTCAGCACTATTCCGCCAGTAAAATGAATAGTAATAATTGTAAAGTGAGTCATAGTATACAAAGAATAACTCTTGATTCATACATAAGTATGTCTTAAAATTGGAAACATGTTTCCTAATACTCGTATCACAGTTTAACTCTCAATTGCAGAACAGTCTCTGTAAAAAAAAAAAACTCCAAAAGCATAAAGTGAAGAAACTTGTGGTCTAAAAAGTTTTTGCCAAATAATAAATAATATTTCCATGCTTTCCAACAAGTTCCACAGATATACTTAGAATCGCAGGTCTTGGATTGCATGAAAGCAGAAGTCAATTTATAATGAATAGGCCTTCTTGTAGGTCTTGGATTGTATGAAAGTATAAGTGAAATCTATAAGGAAGAGTTCTTTTCATAGGTCTTCAGTTGCATGAAGTCAAATATATAAAGGATAGGCCTTCTTGTATGCCTTGAATTGTAGGAACTCAAGTTTTTATTGAAAAACAAGGGTCTTGTGGATCTTGGGTTTTTATGAAAGTAGATGTCTAGTTTATAATGAAGAGTCTGCTCTCCTCATCTGTAGCCTTCGGTGTAACTCGCTCTGTTGGACATAAAGTTACTTCTGGTGTTGACAGAGGATAAGATACAACTTCTCCGGGTTGGTTTCTTGTTCTGTTCATTGCTTGGGAGGGAATAACTTTCATCATCTTCAGCCAATGACAAGTAAGAGGCTATGCTTTGGCGAAGACCGTAGCTGAGAAAAGAGTCATCTGTTTCTATGGAATGGTCAGGTTCTTCTGCGGTCAGTGAAACCCTGAGAAAGAGAACATATACATTTTTGCAGTTTTTTTACGGGAATGTGCAGTTTTTATTATTATCATTTTCAATACTAAACAAATTAAATGTTTAATATTATTATCATGCCTTCAATTAGGTAAATATGAATAATAGCATATAAATGTATCTGTATATCTGAAGTCTAGTTTTGGACTATAAGCAGTCCTCTTAAAGTACAGAACTTAAGAATTTCTTTTCCTTTGGGGTGGATACAGATTTTTTATTTGCTGCACTGATGAACTTTTCCTCACTGTCTGGTCCATCATGGTGCGTTTCCACATGTGCTTTTTTTTTTGCGTACGTGCATTGCATTAAGGCAGTGTTTCTCAACTCCAGTCCTCATGGACCCCCAACAGGTCATGTTTTCAGGATTTCCATTATTTTGCACAGGTGATTTGATCAGTTTCACTGCCTTAGTAATTACCACAGCTGTTTCATCTGAGGGAAATCCTGAAAACATGACCTGTTGGGGGTCCATGAGGACTGGAGTTGAGAAACACTGCATTAAGGCAACAACATTTTTTTATGTGACCCACCACAATACATGGCGCATGTGTTGTGGTGCTTTGCAGGCTGCTGTAGTTGTGCTTTTGGGTTCCATTGTAAATAATTGGCATCACAACACAATGCAAATTATATCATGTGTTACTATGCATTGTGCATAGGTGTGAAGCCAGCCTTCACCCCCACCTCAACTTTAATGATTTTTTAAAAAAGCTAACTGGCTAACAAAATGGCTGAATGGAATATTTTAACTACATTGCAATGGAATATATATAGTCATCATTTCTGAAAGAAAGATGAAGTGAAAGTGCATAAACCATAATTTACAAACTGCCTTTCTTGTTTGAGTAAATGTTGACTTATAGTAGCATATACTGTATTTGGTTGCTTGCTTTTGCAGGTTGCACAGGACTTTTATCAATGTTTCTATACTTTTGTGAGAATTTTAAAATGGCATGAACCATTCGTATTTCCAAAAGCCACAACTTAAACTAATCCAATTTATATGACATAGGAAAACCTTTTACTTTTCTGTTTCAGTGATAAAGTTGTTTTTTACATAAATTTGGATAAAGTTTGACCCTGTTAAGTTCTACTAAGTCAACAAGAGCTTTTTAAGAACAAAGGGCAGATCGATGAAAGCATGCTGAGGAGCAACTTTTAGAGCAGATGCTGATGGGGGCATTAAGGTAGTGGCCTTGGTGGAGAAAAAACTGCATCAGTCACACCTGCTACTGAGTCTCTGTTTCAGACCTGGAGGACCCTTGGATGTTACTGACTCCTTTATTGCTCCACAAAATCAATTACTGTTTCTGCTCGTTTGGAAGGAACTGTGAAATGAATCTATCGAATGAAATTGTCCAGTGCAAGAACACTTCCCTGACACTTGGCTTAGTGACATTAAAAATCAGGTGACCAGGTGAAGGAGAGCTATGGGGAGGTGTCCCCATGAAGCTCTGCTGTGAAAAGGTGGGTTTTACAGCTCCCACTTGGAGCTCTGCAGTAACATTGATTGATTTTGGTTGGTATCGTGGTGGGGGTGAGGTGGGCAGGGTTAATATTTCTCAGTAGAACCCCTAGTACAATAGCTACTCTGCTGGATGTAGGCACAGCACTTGTACAGTGTGTTATAATCTACAGGAGCCCAGAATTAAATCAACAAGTTAAAGTGGAGTCAAAAGAAATCTAGGTAGTAGGGAGAATAAAGAGATCTCCTTTCCTTCCTATTTTGGTCATCTGGACACCTTTTGTAGAGCACACAGATCCTAATAAATGTATCCTAAAGGCATTGATATAGAATTGGCTCCAGTGGTGATAATGATGCCAGTAAAGGTAACACTTAAGTAATGAATGGAAGGATGTGGATGGAAATATACCTAAATAAATAAAATGGGCAACTGTACAGGTGTGAAAGACAGTAGGTACCTTAGTCGGTTTTCAAACTGCCCAGGTGGGAACATGACAGGCATAAATGACATGATGATATATGGAATGAAAATTATTTACATCAAAGAAGAGTTAAGGTTTTGACACTGGCTATGGGGACCAATGTGATCTGACTGGGCAGGAGCCATTGGTGGTGAACACAGGGTTACCAACATGTGATTCCATGACATTTTAGTGCAGGGCTGCAGGAATCTGGCCATAGTCAATCCAGCCATTTACTGTAGCCCATTCAGCTTATTTAAGAAGGCTCTTCTACAAGGAGAAATAAGGCTGGTTATAGATGGACACATATCATAATGAGTAAGAGAAAAGTTAAATTATTTGCCTATCATAAAAAGGCATACTATGTCCACGGATGGGAAGATGACTCCTCTTTTTTGAATTCCCTTGCTGGATTTTAGCAGTGCACAATTCACATGGATACTTCTCAAGTGAAAACATCTACAGTATGTGTTCGATTGCAAGATCTTCCATTTGTAAATGCCACTAGGAAGCCCTGCATGATCCAGTTCTTGCCCCGTTATGGCCACTCTAAGTATTTGGACAACCAACCATGTGTAAGAAGTGTTATGTGTTACGAATGCTGGTATTACTCACCTCTTCATACTCTTCCAGTTGAAAGGCTTCTTTCTCCGCATGACGGGCATTTCTTGTCTGCCAAAGACTTCCGTCAGGTTTACTGACTGCTGGGTGAGGCACGGAGTGGTGAGAACACAACACAGTCCATCTGCATTTTCTGTAAGAGTAATATATATATAAATAGATCATACTCCTCATTTTCCATCTACTGCTCTTAGTACTCTGACAGAACAGGGACATTGTTATGGGCTCATTAAGAACCAACCTCTAGCCAAAACATTTTGCTTCATTTTGGAGATAATGGCAAAAGCTAAAAGCATTTGTTTTGTTTCCAAGGGCAGAAAGTGATCCAAGTCTCTTCAGTGTGGACACAGAAGTATTAAAAGAAGTTAGATTCTGAGCCAGTTTTTAATGCTAATATAATGTGAAGTAAAGGAAATGTAAGCGCTACTTTATCATGAGGGGCATTGGCATTGAATGCTTTGAGCTTGGAATGTTTATTCATGGTTCAAGGAGAGCCAAAGCATTTCTGGGATCTGGGATCTGGGCTCTGGGCTCCTTCTTCAAGACTGTGAATTAAAATAAGTTGGAGTTGTAGCAGTAGCAGGGGTGGACTGACCATTTGGGAATTCTGGCACTGCCCAAGGGCTCGGGATCAGTAGGGGGCCCCATGAGATGCCCCTGGTACCTTTTATAGGCTTTGATTGATTGTGGGCAAGGACATAGGGGCCCCATGATCCCCTATTGCTCGGGGGCCCCATGAGTTGTCAGTCCGCTCCTGAACAGTAGTAATATCTTAGTGAAATGAAAACTTGCTTAACAGAGTAATCTGAGGCTTAAAACTGGATGGGCAATTAGGCATGTCAGTATAGATCAGGGTTTCTAAACCAGGGTTCCATGGAGCTCTAGGGTTCCTCCAGAATTTGCTAGGGGTTCCTTGAGCAATGAGCAATTCCCATCTTTCACATAACTTCCCAATGACACCAATTATCTTTTTTGGCTATCTATAGGGGGTAATTCTTCCCAATGACCACAAGTGTAAGGAACATTCTTCCCACTGGCCACCACACTAATGTATCATGAATTGTAGCTATAGTCATTTCAAGGCTTCTTATATGTTCAAAGGGTTGAGAAAATCTGGTATATAGATAGAGATAACTAGCCGGCAGAAGGGTTTATGCAGTAATGGTAATGATACGTAAAAAAAATAAAACAGCACAAATTCAGCATGTCTGAGTGGCAGAAACCACTTAAAAACATGGAGATTGGAATATTTGGCCACACATTTATTTACAGCCCTGATGAAGACAACGCATGCCATTCGTTCCCCTCCTTGAAACCTCCATAAACATTCCAACTTTATAAAAATAATTGCTGATTGGAGCATTCTTTTCAATACACAGGTATTGCCCCTTCTGACGAAGTGGAGCGTTTGCATTCCTTTTGCTGTTCCTTGTATCCAACACACTGGATGTTAGGATATATCTATGTTGTCAAGCAAGCAGCATTACATTTTTTACTTGATTAAGACTGTAGTCAGCGAACAGAAGTTCCTAATTTCTCCTTCATTGCTGCACTCTGTGGGGAAGACTTTCATTCATTTCCTGAGTTATTAGCGGAACAGGAAATGAGGGAAAATCTCAACAGGGGCATGAAAATGTTCTACGAGTAAAACCACCAAAGTATGTCTGGACTTGGATTTTAGTAAGACAAAGAGAACAGTGTCAAGTTCCCTTAACTATAGGAACTGAATGGCTGCACCTATCTACAGTTGCAAGAAAAAGTATGTGAACCCCTTGGGATTACGTGGAGTTTTGCATGAATTGGGCATAAAATGTGCTGTGAACGTCATCTAAGTCACAACAATAGAAGAACACAGTCTGCTGAACATAATACTACACAAACATTAGATGTTGCCATGGTTTAATTGCACATAACATGTAAACATTCACAGTGCGGGGAGGAAAAAGTATGTGAGGCCCTAGCTTAATGACTTCTCCCAGAGCTAATTGGAGCCAGGAGTGAGCCAACCTTGACTCCAATCAGTGTGATGATATTGGATGTGTTGCTGACAGCTGTCCTGATCTTAAAAAACACACACCTGTTTTGGGTTTACTGGTTTCAAGAAGCACTGTCTGATGTGAACCATGCCTCGCAGAAAAGAGCTCTCAGAAGACCTACGATCAAGAATTGTTGACTTGCATGAAGCTGGAAAGGGTTACAAAAGTATCTCCAAAAGCCTTGATGTTCATGTGTCCACGGTAAGACAGACTGTCTACAAATGGAGAAAGTTTAGCACTGTTGCTACTCTCCCTAGGTGTGGTCGTCCTGTAAAAATGACTGCAAAAGCACAGCGCAGAATGCTGCATGAGGTAAAGAAGAATCCCAGAGTGTCAGCTAAGGACCTACCTACAGAAATCTCTGGCACATGCTAACATTTTTGTTGACACATCTACAATAAGGAAAACATTAAACAAGAATGGAGTACATGGGAGGACACCACGGAGGAAGCCATTGCTGTCCAAAAAGAATATTGCAGCACGTTTGAAGTTTGCAAAAGAGCACCTGGATGTTCCACAGCACTACTGGCAAAATATACTGTGGACAGATGAAACCAAGATTGAGTTGTTTGGGAAGAACACACAACACTATGTGTGGAGAAAAAAAGGCACAGCACACCAACATCAAAACCTCATCCCCACTGTAAAACATGGCGGAGGGAGCATCATGGTTTGGGGCTGCTTTGCTGCCTCAGGGCCTGGATGGATTGTTGTCATTGATGGGAAAATGAATTCCAGAGTTTATCAAGACATTTTGCAGGAAAACGTACGACCATCTGTCCGCCAACTGAAGCTCCGCAGAGGATGGGTGATGCAACAGGACAATGACCCAAAGCATACAAGTAATTCAACAAAACAATGGCTACAACAGCACAGAATACGCCTTCTGGAGTGGCCTAGTCAGAGTCCTGACCTCAACCCGATTGAAATGCTGTGGCATGACCTTAAGAGAGCGATTCACACCAGACATCCCAAGAATATTGCTACACTGAAACAGTTTTGTGAAGAGAAGTGGTCCAAAATTACTCCAGATCGTTGTGCAGGTCTGATCTGCAACTACAGGAAACGTTTGGTTGAGGTTATTGCTGACAAAAGAGGGTCAACCAGTTATTAAGTCCAAAGGTTCACATACTTTTTCCTCCCTGCACTGTGAATGTTTACATGTTATGTGCAATTAAACCATGGCAACATCTAATGTTTGTGTAGTATTATGTTCAGCAGACTGTGTTCTTCTATTGTTGTGACTTAGATGACGTTCAGAGCACATTTTATGCCCAATTCATGCAAAACTCCACGTAATCCCAAGGGGTTCACATACTTTTTCTTGCAACTGTATATACATCACCACAAGCTTTGTAAAACACTAACAGACACGTTAACATTTTTTACATTAAGCTACTTAATATCACTCTATTATTTACATAAAGCTAATCAATATTTCACTATTATGAAAAGTCTTTCAAAGCTATTATTCTAAAATAGATCCCAAAAAATGTAAATACCTGAATAGTGGTTGACAAGGTGCTCCAAGCATTGAAAGGTCAGTCTTGGCGAGATATAATACCAGTTATTCGGTAAGCGGAAAATTCTGTAATGTTTCACTTGTCTATGCTTGACAGATAAGGAATAAGTTCCTATAGAAAAATAGAAAAAATTATTAGTTACTGACTAGTGCTGACTCTGTTCTGTTTTGACACATAGATTTATGTCATTATCAACCTCAAGAACGTTTTTAAATGTTTTTTAAGTCATGCATGAACACAGGTGTGGCATGTTGGTGGAAGCCCAATTGTCCCAGCTGACTTTACTGCACTATGGCAGCTGGGCAAATCGCTGGATCTCCGCAATGTTGTCAAAACGGCGACCTATGAGCTGGATCTTTATTTCTGGGAAGAGGGCTGTAGCAAACTTGCTCATCAGAGTTGGATGCGGAGTTCCCCTTTTTTATTAGAAGTATTCCTCAATTCTTTATTCCCTACCCCCTCCCTTCCTGAGAGGCACAGGGACAGATGTGTAAGTGTTAAAAGTTGCTGGCAGGCTGGAGCAGCAGGGGGCCCAGTGCTACAAAGCCCCCCCATAGAGACAGCAGACACTCTGTCCCAAGGCCTGTGTAAAATATTACACCTCCTAATCAAGATAAGAAAGTTCTTCTCCCAGGAATTGAAAGAGATTGTAACCTCATAAAACCTAACAGTTAAAGGTGACAGAATGAAATGAACATTCTTCAAGTCAGGTTTTTCCCCTATGTTTCATGTCATGGATTATGACAGATGTTGGTTCTAATTCAGAGTTCGCCCGACTGACGGAAAAGTTTTTTTTAGCATACTGATGTATGAAGGTCGGTGCTCCCTGTGACTGTGCATGAAGCCTGGCGCTGCCATCTGTTGGCTTGTTACAAAACTAGTCTCAAAACTTTTTGATACCACTTCATATATACAGGTATACTGTACAGCGCAAAAAAAACCATTATAGTTTCTCAAGAAAAAAGGAAACACAAGGTTTCATGTACAGAAAATTGGTTTACAGGTAAACAGCGGGTGGATCTGAATTTTTAATATTTACTGCTCTTTGTGAACAAGACTGAAATGATTACAGTTTAAAATGGAATTCACCTTTTAAAATAAATTTTCAGCCAAAACCAAAGGTTAAGAGTTAGAACCCCTATAAAGCTTTAAATCTGCGACCTTTTTTGGAAAGATTAGCCTCACTTCCTCTTCAGCCTGACACCCATTAACTTTAAGGGGAAGTGTGGAGTTTGGAAAAGGAAATGCAAGTTATGATCATTAATTTGGAGAATAACTCAAAGTGCTTAGAGCAATGTAGAGGTAAAACTTAGAGGCGTATTCAGAATGCAGTGAATGTTACTTTCACCAAACAATTACTGTCCTGTACCTGGAAGTGAACCTGCAGTGAATGTTTGGGGATTCACCACTTTATAATGTAAATAAGCCCCTTAGTCTTTTGGTGCATAAACCCTGAACACAGGCCCCAGCCATTCACCTTTTTTGGTTTCACTTTGCCTAATCATGAATGAACCGGTCTTCACTTCTGGCAGCTGTAGTAGTTGTTCTGACTTCTCCCTCCCCACTCCATCAAACAGCCACCTGGAATGTTAGAAGAACAGGTTAGAAAAGCACATCGGCTCCAAAAGAAAATGGTCATCTGGTTCACAATTTTCTGTTTTGGTCAAGAATAAATATGCAATTTTGAGATTCCTAAAGAGAAGACACATCTTAAACAGAATAGAGCAGCCTTTCTCAAATGTTTAACCCCAAGAGGAACCCTAAAAATAATTTGGAGGCCTTGGAGAACCAGGACAAAAACCAAATCATTGAGGGTCAGAGGGAAAACAATACCCCTTACTTTGGTTGCCAGTGGGATAAATGCTCCCGTTACAGAGCTGAAATGTTCATTGATATCAGGCAGCAGGCCAAGTGTCCTTGGCCCATGACTAGCATCATCACATTGGAGGTCAATCAACCACAACTCAAGGAACCCCTAACAACCTCTGGAGGAACCTTGGGGTTATATTAGAAAGCTAGTTGAGAATTGCTGGAATACAGTGTGTTATAAAGAAAGTAAGTTTGACCCTGCTTAGGTATCAGCATGGTTGATCATATGTCATTGGCCCCAGCATTAACATAATCAAAGTGGAGGTCAATCAGCCACAAATCAAGGAACCTCTGGCAACCTCTGAAGGAAACAAACTCTCACCTCCGCTCATTTTTTCAGCGACACTAAAATATATTTTTTTTCAACTGCCTTGATATTAAAATATCACAAAGCAAGGCATTGTTAAATGTCACCTTTAATCTGAAAATATTCCCTCTTGATCTAACCATGCCGATACCTGAGCAGAGCCAATGTTTTCCAGCCATTTTCAACCAGGGTTCTATTGAACTCTTGGGTTCCTTCAGAGGTTAGTATATACAGTATATCTCAGCTTTATTTGTCACAGTTAAAAAACACAGTGGGTCCCAATGCTAACACATTTCTGCCCAGAACGGGCCTTAATCAGAGCTAATGCCAATTAGTGTTGGGACCCACTATGTTTTTAACTGTGACAAATAAAGCACTTGTTGGATTCTGAAGACGTGCCGCTGTTTTTTACTTACGAAATTCTGAAGCACAGGTGTCAAGCTGGTGGCCCTCCAGCTGTTGCCAAACTACAAGTCCCATGAGGCATTGTAAGATTGACTCCCAAAGGCAGAGGCATGATGGGACTTGTAGTTTCGCAACAGCTGTATGGCCGCCAGTTTGACACCCCTGCTCTAAAGGAACCCAAAGGTTGCACAGAACCTTGCTTGAAAATGGCTGGAATATTGTGTCTCATAAAGACAATAAATTTTTGGTTTCTGCTCAGGTATCGGCGTGGTTAGATCAAGGTGGAATATTTTGCACATTAAAAGTGACACTTAGTAATGCCTTGTTTTGTGATATTTTAATGTCAAGACATTTTAGATTTTACATAAAAGTTGCAATGGAGTTTGCTTCATAATGGGATATTGGGGCAGCACAGTGGCTAAATGGTTAGCACTTCCGCCTGGCAGTACTAGGGTTGTTGGTTCGAATCCCAACCACGGCACCACCTGCCTGGAGTTTGCATGTTCTCCCTGTGCCTGTGTGCGTTTCCTCCGGGTACTCCGGTTTCCTCCCACACTCCAAAGACATGCTGGTAGGTTAATTGGCTCCTGTCTAAATTGTCCCTAGTATGTGTATGTATGAATATGTGAGTTAGGGACCTTAGATTGTACGCCCCTTGAGGGTTAGGGACTGATGTGAATGTACAATATATATGTAAAGTGCTGCGTAAATTGATGGCACTATATAAATACCTGAAATAAATAATAAATAAATACATTTTTTATTTCTTTTTTACTATTTCTGCTGTAGCTTGGTAGGCATATGGGAAGGACATAGCCAAGGTGTGTTGCTTCAAAAATAGATCATGTAGTTCCCGTCATTATCACTTGTATTTACAGTATCTCATATCCCCTTTTCTCACACCGCCATGAGAACATATGCTGTTCTCAGCTATTACACGCAATAATGAAAATGCCGTTCACTAATATGTTTCACCTCATAATTTACGGCTTTTTAAGAAAAAGGTGAGAAACAGTCATCTGTCTTATGGGAGGAAGACTGAAAATTTCACTCTTTCTTCATTAAATTCTAGTCTATAGAACAGACCTGGTAGCAGTGTTTTGTATCTTGATTAGTTGTTATTAGAGACAGAAGAAATGAGGGCCCTCTCCATTATGTTGGAGAGGGAGGTACAATGGCACATTTATGGTGAAGCTGTCCAAAAATACAATTTTTTTTGAAGAGATATAACCCAACTTATTCAGGTAATGTGTGAGATGGATTTCCAGGGAGACCCCTTGAAGTGTTTTACTATTTTTAGACCTCTTTGGAACTAAATAAGAAGAAAATATTATATCATTTAATAATATATAATATTAACTGGGCAGCACAGTGGCTAAATGGTTAGCACTTCCGCCTGGCAGTACTGGGGTCGCTGGTTGGTATCCCAACCCCGACACCACCTGCCTGGAGTTTGTATGTTCTCCCTGTGACTGCGTGGGCTTCCTCCGAGTACTCCGGTTTCCTCCCACACTCCAAAGACATGCTGGTAGGTTAATTGGCTCCTGTCTAAATTGGCTCTAGTATGTGTATGTATGAATGTGAGTTAGGGACCTTAGATTGTACACCCCTTGAGGGTTAGGGACTGATGTGAATGTACAATATATATGTAAAGTGCTGCGTAAATTGCGTATCATGGAACCCTGGTTGAGAAATCCTGGCAGTACTAGGGTCGTTGGTTGGAATCCTGACCGCGGCACCAACTGCCTGGAGTTTGCGTGTCCTCCCTGTGCCTGCGTGGGTTTCCTCTGGGTACTCCAGTTTCCTCCCACACTCCAAAGACATGCTGGTAGGTGAATTGTCTCCTGTCTAAATTGGCCCTAGTATGTGTATGTATGAATGTGAGTTAGGGACCTTAGATTGTACGCCCCTTGAGGGTTAAGGACCTTAGATTGTACGCCCCTTGAGGGTTAAGGACCTTAGATTGTACACCCCTTGAGGGTTAAGGACCTTAGATTGTACGCCCCTTGAGGGTTAGGGACCTTAGATTGTACGCCCCTTGAGGGTTAAGGACCTTAGATTGTACGCCCCTTGAGGGTTAGGGACCTTAGATTGTACACCCCTTGAGGGTTAAGGACCTTAGATTGTACACCCCTTGAGGGTTAAGGACCTTAGATTGTACACCCCTTGAGGGTTAAGGACCTTAGATTGTACGCCCCTTGAGGGTTAAGGACCTTAGATTGTACGCTCCTTGAGGGTTAGGGACTGATGTGAATGTACAATATATATATGTGTAAAGTGCTGCGTAAATTGACGGCGCTATATAAGTACCTGAAATAAATAAAAAAATAATAGAAGGGTCTTATCAATAAGTATTGGAAGGAGATCGAGGTACCAAAAAGTGGGGACTGGATAGAAAGAGTGGAGGGTATCTATAGAATGGAGGAATTATACCACCTGGGAGAGGATAAAATGGAAAAGTTTGGGGAAATATGGTGTAGTTGGAAAAAATGTAAAAAACATCCAAAATTTATATAGAATTGATTGGTGTAAAGAGGGAAGTATAGAGTTTGGAAGAGAGTGATATAAGAGAAGAAATTACGGGATACAGATAGTTTAGGAGAGAAGTTAGAGATTGGTTGTGGATGAAGATATGAGAAGTGGGGGAGGGGGGGGGGATGGGTTTGGGGTTATTTGAGAATTTGTGTAATATTTATATAATAGTTGTTTATGTATTTATTTTTGTATATAAAATTAAATAAAAGGATGCATAAAAAAAAAAAAGTAAGAAATGAGGGCCCGTTTTTAAAGCAATATGAGTTACCAGAACACATGGAGGTGCACCTGCTGTATGCGCAGATCTTTGTGAATGGCACCCCAATAATTGTAGAGTCCAACCCGCAACACATTGCAGTACACCACAATGCACAGTAACAAACCTGTTGTATGTGCAGAGTGTTTTGGTGCTATTCATTGTGAATGACACAACAACACATTGTCCCAGCAAACTCCAGTGCACTACAATACATATACTGTGCATTGTGGTGCACTGCAAAGTCCTATATGAAGCCAAAATAGGGAGTAGGGAAGAATCCGAACCCCTGTTGGGTTTTTCTTACTGTTTGTGTCCCTGCTGAAGAGATGTATCCACCCACCCACTCCGATTTGCCCTGCCAACCGCAGCCCCCACATGGAAGAAAAAATATATGAAATATATTTTTTAAAAATATTTTTCCCAAATATATTGCCATATATGTGTAAAAAAAATACTACAACTTTGGCCATATTCAACATATTCAATAAATATATATATATATATATAATATATATATATATATATATACACACTGCATGTTGAAATGTGTTTTTATTACAAAATATATGAAAAATATTTTTAAAAATACATTTCAAATATACTGTATGTCTTTAAAATACAAATCTACATTTTTGGAATGCATTTCGAAATATATGTAAAAAAAAAAAAAAATATATGTTAAAATTACATTTTTTTTTTATATGTAAACCAAAAAAAAATCTGAAGAATATATTTAAAATATATATATATTTATATAAAAAGAAAAAATTCCAGTATATATACTAACATTTGTAGACGCTATAACTTTCACGTAAACCAATGAATTTACACATATTGGGATTTTTTTTAGCTGGAAGACCTGGAGCTGAATACATTTTGGCCTAAATTTATGAAGAAATTTGATTGTTTAAATGTTTTTATTGGATATGCTTTAAAGCAAAAAGTAAAATATATTATTTTTATTTCAAAATTGTCAGTCTTTTTATGTTTATAGCGCAAAAAATAAAAACTGCAGCTCTATTTGTATGAAAGCTCTATTTGTATGAAAAAAGGACATACATTTCATTTGGGTGCAGCGTTGCATGACCGCGCAATTGTCAGTTAATATAACACAGCGCCATATCGCAAAAAATAGCTTGGTCGGGAAGGGGGGTAAATCCTCTGGAGGATGAGTGCTTAAAGAGACTTGTACGTAGTTCCAGGAGGATTGTCCTCAGTCGCCGTTCCCTTGGGCATCCCATACTCCCCTAACCCCATCCAAATTATTCATCCCCAGGGGCGGACTGACCATTTGGAAACTCGGGCACTGCCTGAGGGCCCGGGGTCAGTAGGGGGCCCCATGAGATGCCCCTGGTACCTTTTTCATAGGCTTTTTTGAGTTTGGGCAAGGACACAGGGGCCCCATGATCCCCTATTGCCCGGGGGCCCCATGAGTTGTCAGTCCGCCCCTGTTCATCCCCTAATAAAATCTAAAAGAACCAAGCTCAAGGATTGGCTACTGTCTCCTTGATGCAAGTATGTGTGGGAAAATGCATGTTGCCGGGCTGTGCAGAACTATAGGGGGACCCAAATATCTAGCGACTCCTAAGGGGGTAGTGCTACACATGCATCTTTTTCAACATGCCAGCGTCTTGACTATGAAGCAATCTCTGCTAATGTAGCAGTCTTAGGTACAAAGGGAGCTTTCTTAGTCCTCATACACACTGGATGTTTTTACAGCGGCTGTTTTTGACTTTTGACGTTTTTTTCTACAGCCAGTAAACCCCCCAGCATGTTATCCTATGTGTCCATCCCCGGCATGTTATCCTATGTGTCCATCCCCGGCATGTTATCCTATGTGTCCATCCCCGGCATGTTATCCTATGTGTCCATCCCCAGCATGTTCTCCTATGTGTCCATTCCCAGCATGTTATCCTATGTGTCCATTCCCAGCATGTTATCCTATGTGTCCATTCCCAGCATGTTATCCTATGTGTCCATTCCCAGCATGTTATCCTATGTGTCCATCCCCGGCATGTTATCCTATGTGTCCATCCCCGGCATGTTATCCTATGTGTCCATTCCCAGCATGTTATCCTATGTGTCCATCCCCAGCATGTATATCCTATGTGTCCATCCCCGGCATGTTATCCTATGTGTCCATTCCCAGCATGTTATCCTATGTGTCCATTCCCAGCATGTTATCCTACGTGTCCATTCCCCGGCATGTTATCCTATGTGTCCATCCCCGGCATGTTATCCTACGTGTCCATTCCCTGCATGTTATCCTATGTGTCCATCCCCAGCATGTTATCCTATGTGTCCATCCCCGGCATGTTATCCTATGTGTCCATCCCCAGCATGTTATCCTATGTGTCCATCCCCAGCATGTTCTCCTATGTGTCCATCCCCGGCATGTTCTCCTATGTGTCCATCTCCGGCATGTTATCCTATGTGTTCATCCCCAGCATGTTATCCTATGTGTCCATTCCCAGCATGTTATCCTATGTGTCCATCCCCGGCATGTTCTCCTATGTGTCCATCCCCAGCATGTTATCCTATGTGTCCATCCCCAGCATGTTCTCCTATGTGTCCATCCCCAGCATGTTATCCTATGTGTCCATTCCCAGCATGTTATCCTATGTGTGTCCATTCCCAGCATGTTATCCTATGTGTCCATCCCCGGCATGTTATCCTATGTGTCCATCCCCAGCATGTTATCCTATGTGTCCATCCCCGGCATGTTATCCTATGTGTCCATCCCTGGCATGTTATCCTATGTGTCCATCCCCGGCATGTTATCCTATGTGTCCATCCCCGGCATGTTATCCTATGTGTCCATCCCCGGCATGTTATCCTATGTGTCCATCCCCGGCATGTTATCCTATGTGTCCATCCCCGGCATGTTATCCTATGTGTCCATGCACACATAGACTGGAATCAACGTTTTTTGGCTGGAAAACCCCCCAGAACTAGTGGGTTTATAGAGGAGTTTTTTAGCTGTAAAAACTTTCTAAAAGCTGAAAAAGTCAGTAAAACGTAGTAAATCGCGGCAAACCTGTGTTTCTGGACTTTTTCTGACCCAAGTCAAGTAAAACTCTAAAAAACGCAAACGCTGCAAAACGGAGATAAAAAAATGCTGAAAAACTCAAGTTTTTACCGTGACTTTATACAGCTAATGCTACCAGCGTTATCAAAACGCCCCGTGTACATGGAGCCTTATGATCATGAAAGCAGGTTTTAGGTAGAGTTGCGGGTACAGACTCCGAAGGCTGGTTGCTGCTACAAATGGCATTTAAAAGCATGTCCTGGGTAGGATTGTGGATCAATGGTTAGTCTACAGATACAGACCCATGTAGGTTATTTCCTTTTATTTAATGAGTGAATTGATCATTTCTAAATTAGAAAAGTAAGATGTTCCATACCCATGGTAGACCTTTGCTACACATTTTTCAGGTATATAGTTCTCACGACCGGTCTTTAGGGATACCACTCGCCACCATCCTCCCTCACTGTAAAGAGACAAAGAAAACAAAGATATTATTATAGATTGTAAGCTCCCAGGATCAGGCCCTCCTATCCCTCTTGTATTGAACTGTATTGTTGCTGTATTGTCTCCCTTTATATTGTAAAGTGCTGAGCAAACTGTTGGTGCTATATATCCTGTATAATAATAATAATAATATAAATCATGTATAATAATAATAATAATAATAATAATAATATAAATCATGTATAATAATTAATAATAATAATATAAATCCTGTATAATAATAATAATAATAATATAAATCCTGTATAAATAATAATAATAATAGTACAACGACAATCTTCCATAAGCTATCACTGTACTGTACAACTTGGTAATGTCAAGAGAAGCATTTCTGAAGAGGCCTTCATCACTAACCCTTAGGATCCATGACAAATATAATATTCAGTACTGACATTTTGATATGGGTTGTCCATCTTACTTTGGCGCCCAAGTTTCCGTCATTCATGCATTATGCCATGAGTTTGGTTTGGTACAAAAATATTAGTGGAGTGGAATTAATCTCAGTGTTTGGAAGATTGATGTTCTAAGGTTATTCTTGGGTATCAAGGACAAGGTATGGGATTTATATACAGTGCCCCAGAGGACGTCACATGTGATGAAACGCGTTGGACGGAGCCAAGCTGTGGCGTCATCACGTTTTATCAGAAGTTTATGGGTATCCATCTTGTTTGTTTTACGTGAGTAGACTATGTTTTTTGTGAGTAGACTATGTTTTTCATATTAAAATCAGTTTTAAAGTGATACACACCATGTAGAGTTTTTTTTAATTATATTTCTGAGATACTTCCATTGAAGCGGGAGCGGTGAGTCTCTAGCCGCATGCTCGACAATGTTCCTTGTCTGATGATTGCTACTAGGACTTGAATTAAAAACTTCATGATGACCTTTCTTTAGTTTGGTCATATCTGTTCGGTATGCCTTGCATTTTTTTGCTTGGTGGAGGATTCCTGCTTGATCTAACGAGGGATATTTCTGCTTTTCCTGCTATCATTAGGACCAACACCTTTGTCTCATTTCATGCATTTGCTTTGGAATTTGTTTGTTTTTGTTTTTTTTTTTCACACCATTGGTTTTGCCACATGTATACTCTTAAGTGCTGTATATTCACTAGAGAATTAGCACAACGCTTATCTTATATATGGGATTTATATTGAGGGTTAGGTTTAAGGCTTAGGGCTCAGATTTAGGGTTAGGCGCTAGGCCAAGGGTTTCAGCAGGGTTTTTTGTTTCTAGGCCAAGGGTTGTCTTTTTAATTTAGGTGAAGAGACCTGTCTGAGGGTTGGGGTATGGGGAAAAATGAGAATTTGAGTTAGGGTTAGTGATTAGGTTCAGGAGTCTGCATTTTGCTGCATTTTAAAGTGCAAGAACCAGGGTGGTAGCAGATGCACAGTTGAGGGTTGAGGGCCATTTCCCATACCACCTTAACTACCCTGCTGTGAACTTATCAGGAAGCTGGGGGTGTATAGAGGATTTTTCAAAGAATGAATGACCTCACTAATAGAACTCCACACTGCTATTATTTTGAACATGCCCCTTTCAATGAGTGATTCAATGACACAGAATCAGCAGCATGCATGTCATGACTGTTGGGTCTGTTGGATTTCTATTACTCTACTACACCTGCTAGGAAATTATTTACCATGTAGAAATATCATTTCTACCAAAAACAGTGATTGATCCAGTTAGTGATGTCTGACTGCTATTATTTTGAATACAACTGTATATGAGGGGGTCTTCAATAAGTATATTAAATATATATGGAGTTAAAAAAAGTGCGGAAGAACCCTCAGATTTATGATCGCATATATTGTATGCCTTATTCTGTGCATCTGCATAAAATGTGTATTTAGTGGATTTATATAGTTAATGCAAAATGGAACCTTTTCCAGTCTCAGACTTTATTAGATTTGCTATTACGAAATTCTATTATGAATTAAGCCCTGACACCAAGTTCTCAGACAAACACATTTATTCACACGTTGAGCTCACTAAGCTGTATTCCTTTGTTCAATAATAGCAAAACCACAACATAATTTTAGAAGAGGTGCAGCCCTTTCCGTGTCCTTATGACTGTAACTACCATTTGCACAAGGATTGTGTGCAATTTCAGGTACGATTTCTGAAGACTTTATTACTACTTGTGAAGATTTTCAACAACTTCTTGCAGTTTGCAGTGCGATTTCCATTGTATTCTATGCATGTGAAATCGCAACAAAACTGCAGAAAACGTGATGCAAGAACTACTTTAGAAATTGCACTGCAGCAAATCACACATATTAAGACAATGACATTCACATTCATTAGATGCAATTTAAGGTGTGTTTTCAATCTGCAAATTGCACCTAAAATCGCACCGGTATGACTGAGCTGATTCACACATGTGCGGTGTGGATTGAAGCTCAGCTAATAGATACAGTAGTCATTCTGCGATTCATGTCAGGTTTCCATCAGGTTCAGGACAGGATTAGCTCAGGATCTTATCCTGTTCACACACATATGCGGTTTAGAAACCCTTCCCTTAGAATTCAATAGCCTGCAATCCGCACCTGAACCTGAAGGCACTGCTCAGAAATCATACAGGACTCTTTTTCAAATCGCACCGCCAGTGCACCGGACATATGTTAACAGGCACCATAGGAAGCAATGTTATTTCACATGTCATGCAGACGGGATGTGGTTCAAACCGCACCCAATCCTCATATATGTTAAGGTTCACTCTTTGGATGTACCTAGTACTCCCAAAGAGCAGAAATGGTTAAAGCGGAGTTCCACGTGAGAAAAAAAAAAAGTCTCCAGCTACAAATACTGTAGCTGCTGACACTTACCTGTCCCTCGGTCCAGCGCTGTCCTCACCACGGCTGGTTTCACCTGGCCGTCTTCTATCCCCCGGTGACAGCATCTTCAGTGTGGACACCCGGCTGTGACAGCTTGCAGCTTCACAGCCAGATGTCCACTGCGCATGCGCGAGAAGCACTGTGCTTTGTGAATGGCCCCGTAGTCTTCTGGGACCTGTCATGTGTCCCAGAAGACTACGAGGAGGGAGGGAGGAGGACAACTTCCACTTCTGATCTCCTAGGCGATCGTAGCGGAAGTGGGAGCGGGTTACCTGTCAAATCTGGGCCCCCCCCCACTCCCCAAAAGGTGCCAATCCTTAATGGGGAGCGGGGGACAAAGCATTAAAGCGGAACTTCCCCTTTTGGGTGGGAGCTCTGCTTTAAGAAAGAGCAGGACATTGATGAGCTCATTTATCTGTCACCCTGCTCTCTCCCCCTATTAGCATTCCTTTTTTATCACATGAGCACTGCAGCACAGCTGATTGGCTAATTGTGCTGCATCTCCCTTTCCCAGTCTGAGCTCTGCTGTACAGAGTCTGCAGAAGACTGATACTAGGTGAAATTCAGGTACTTACACTGCTTGCATTCAATACTTTTAAGGATTTATTAAAGAGCAACGGATGTCAATCATCGGGTCCTGGCTGGTAATTCTCGGCCGGCACTCTGTGATCGCCGCTAAAGCTGAGAGGGGAGAGATCTGTGTGTAAACAACATAGATCTCTCTCCTGGCAGCATGGACATGCTGCTTTATACCCCTCTGCTGTGCAGCATTCCTCCAAAGTAAAACAGAACACAGTGTAAGCACAACACAGCACACAGTTAACCCTTTGATCGCCCCTAGATGTTAACCCCTTCCTGCCCAGTGTCATTAGTACAGTGGTAGTGCTTTTTATTAGCACTGATCATTGTGTTGGTGTCACTGGGGATGTCAGTGGCAGTTAGTCAGTTCCCACCCAGTGTCAGAATGCCCTCTGCAGTCCTGCTATAAGTCGCTGATCGCAGCCATTACTAGTATAAAAAAAGAAAACTCTATACCGCCATTTGTAGATGTTATAACTTTCACATAAACCAATTAATTTACACATATTAGGGGTTTTTTTTCTAGCAAAGACATGTAGCAGAATACATTTTGTCCTAAATTTATGACGAAATGTGTTTTATGAAAGTTTTTTTAAAATACAAAATATACAGCGAGCGCTGAAAATTTAAAGCCGCTAACACAAAGGGCAAAGGCAACAGAACCCACAAAACATATACAATAGGATGTTCATGCACACGAAAAGCATTGAGGTGGAAGCCTTATGTGGTGATGTCACGCCGCCGCGGTCGGGACATGGAGCGGCGGCCATCTTGGTATGTGTTTTAACACATGTTAATCTTAATAAATTGATTTTAATAAATACTACACTTTATACTGAACCCTGGGCTCCTGTGGTGAGCTTTTCTCTCTCCCGATCACCGAGTGCCGGCCGAGAATTACCAGCCAGGACCTGATGATTGACATCCGCTGCTCTTTAATAAATCCTTAAAAGTATTGAATGCAAGCAGTGTAAGTACCTGAATTTCACCTAGTATCAGTCTTCTGCAGACTCTGTACAGCAGAGCTCAGACTGGGAAAGGGTTTGAAGTTTTACTAGTGTTTGTGGGAGAAGCCCGGTCTGCACATATGGATCCTTGAGATGTGATCAGCATGAATGCTGCTATACCAGTAGCTTTCTGGTGAGTGCATAGCCATTAGAGGTGGTGGATTCCTTCACTGGATTAAGGGCACTTTTTTTGGGAAATTCAACACTGATATTGCTGTGCCTTGTAGTACCATGGACCAGGGGCGGACTGACCATTTGGAAACTCGGGCACTGCCCGAGGGCCTGGGGTCAGTAGGGGGTCCCATGAGATGCCCCTGGTACCTTTTTCATAGGCTTTTATGAGTTTGGGCAAGGACACAGGGGCCCCATGATCCCCTATTGCCCGGGGGCCCCATGAATTGTCGGTCTTTTGTTCTTTATAGCGCAAAAAATGAAAATCACAGAGGCGATCAAATACCACAAAAAGAAAGCTCTATTTGTGGAGAAAAAAAGGGCAGAAATGTAATTTGGGTGCAGCGTTGCATGACCTCGCAATCGTCGGTTAAAGTAAACGCAGCGCCGCAAAAATGGCCTGGTCAGGAAAGAGCTTAACCATTTCCCGTCCAGCCCATGTACATAAACGTCTGGATGGGAGTATAAACAGCCCCCGCATTCCCTGCCTACATGCGCTCCTTGGGAGCGTGCAGCATCGCGATCCAGCCAGAGAGAAGGGGAAATTATTGCTTTTACAGCCTTTATGAGTGTAAAAGCAATCAGTTTAAAAAAAAAGAAAAAAAAACTCTTCATCACCCCCCACAAGTAGTACAGTGTCGCTATGGTGACACTGTATTCCTAGGGTGACAGTATGTTAAAAAAAAAAAAAACATAAAGAATAATATATATTAAAAAAAAATAAACGTAAAAAAAGTTAGAAAAATTATAATTTCTGGTTATAAACTAATTTGGGTTATTTTTATTTTTTTACTAAAAAGATAGCTGAATACATTTTGGCCAAGATTATTTATTTGCAAAAATTTTATAAGAAAAACACGTTTTTTTTCAAAACGTTTGGACTTTTTCATTTATATAGCAAAAAAATAAAACTCCCAGTGGTGAATAAATACCACCAAAATAAAGCGTTTATCTGTCTAAAAAAAATGCTAAAAAAATTCATATGGGTACATATGGTGTGATAGCCCTGAAAGCAGGGGCGGACTGACCATTTAGAATCTCGGGCACTGCCTGAGGGCCCGGGGTCAGTAGGGGGCCCCATGAGATGCCCCTGGTTCCTTTTTCATAGGCTTTTTTGAGTTAGGGCAAGGACACAGGGGCCCCATGATCCCCTATTGCCCGGGGGCCCCATGAGTTGTCAGTCCACCCCTGACTGAAAGCTGAAAATTGGCCTGGATTGAAATGGTTTTTAAAAATTGAGGGTTTAATATCACTTTAAGGACTGTGAGGTCTGCGACTTCCAGTAAGTTCTACACGGCTTTCTCTTTGCATTGCAAAACATAACAGTGTGAGATGTGAATTTGCATTTCAGCCTTTGAGGTTTCTTGTTTTCTCACAAGGAGGAGAACAATTTTCCGTCTTTGTTATGTATGATGTGTACCTCTGTATCTGTGTACTGGTGGAGCCGGGTTTTGTATGAAGTCCGGATAGTTCTGTATCTGGGATCAATACCAGGACTACATTTAATATTGGTTTGCATGCAGGGGCAGCCTGACCATTTGGAAACTCGGGCACTGCCCAAGGGCCCGGGGTCAGTAGGGGGCCCCATGAGATGCCCCTGGTACCTTTTTTATAGGCTTTTTTGAGTGTGGGCAAGGACACAGGGGCCCCATGATCCCCTATTGCCCGGGGGCCCCATGAGTTGTCAGTCCACCCCTGGTGGGAATCACATGCGATGTGCCGCACCGCATCAATGTGAACCCAGGATTACCCCAGGTCCACACCTATGTGTTTTCTGCTGTGTTTTACAGAAACGCACAGCAGTCCACTTAGCATGATTTCCTATGGGACAGGTTCACATCTCTGCGTTTTCACCCGGTGTGTTTTTTGGAAGGGGTCAGGGACTTTTTAAAATGCAATTTTGGTTCAATAGACTTCAATGGAGATGTTGCAGTAAAGCATGTAGTGAGTTTTGATGTGTTTTTTATGTGTTCTGTGTTTTAATCTGCCCAGCAACAAGTTGGAAAAAAAAAAAGCGCATAAAGAACGCTTCAAAAACACATGTGCAAAAATGCAAAAGGCAGCGCAAAAAGCACTGCAGAAACGGATCAAACGCAAATTGCATAGGTGTGAACCTCGCCTTAAAGTGGTTGTAAAAGCTCAAGGTTTTTACCTTCGTGCATTCTATGTATTAAGGTAAAAAACCTGTGTGCAAGCATCCCCCCCAGCCCCCCCTAATACTCACCTAAGCCCCCAGGATCCAGCGATGTGTACTGGAGTCTTGGCTATCCCGGGACTCCCTCTCCTCATTGGCTGAGACAGAAATAGGAGCCATTAGCTCCCACTGCTGTCAATCACAGTCAGTGAGCCAATGAGAAGAGAGAGGGGGGCACGACTCCCTGTGTGAATGGAAACAAGGAGCAGCAGGTGCCCCCATAGCAAACTGCTTGCTGTGGGGGCACCCGACAGGAGGGAGGGGCCAGGAGAGCCTGTTGGGGACCTGAGAAGAGGAGGATCCAGGCTGCTTTGTGCAAAACCACTGCACACCGCAGGTAAGTATAGACATGTTTGTTATTTTTTCTTTTAAAAAAAATAAACCTTTAGAATAACTTTATCTCTGGTGCAAGCAGTGGGCGGGCTCTTGGGAGGAATTATGCAAATGTCAAAATGTCTTGATGGGTGGGTGTCTGTCTGGAGGACTGGGTGTTACTAGGCATGCTTTATCAGCTTGCAGACCACCTTAAGTAATGCCCTCTGTGATTGAAAGAACTGAAATCCAATGAATGAAATGGGCAGGCCAAGGGCAGTCAGAGTGGGGGAGGAAAGAGCTAGATGATGCTGGATGATGCCGTTTGACAGTGGCTCAATTAGGCCACTCCCACTGTTGTGATATGAGCCTGTGTCTCTCCATCATAGTCTGTGTCTTCCAGTCTGTGCCCATCCATCACAGTCTATATTTATTGACATCTGTCAACAATCAGTTTCTATCTGTACTGGTCTGCACATGGGCTTCTGCATGCCGGAATGCACATTAACCATGTTGTGTGTGGAAGTGAGGTTCTGGATCTACAATTACATCGAATTCAAGTATGCAGTTCAAGTTTTTCATTGAATGAGTGCAGTGGCTCCAGTTAGGTAACTCTCAGGTATGAGCCTATTGTTGCGAGTGATTAAGAGAACCACACCAATGGTCCTAAAGTCCAAAAGCATTGATTTTACCTTAGACATTCAAAGCAACAAGTCAATGCCTTTCGGTGGCTGACATCATATGCCACTGAGTAGTCAACGCGTTTCGGTGGCTGATACCCTATTCCATTGAGCAGTCGACGCATTTCAGTGGCTGATACCCTATTCCATTGATCAATCAATGTGCTTCAGTGGCCGATACCCTATTCCATTGATCAGTCAACGCATTTTGGTGGCTGATACCCTATCCCATTGATCAGTCAACGCATTTTGGTGGCTGATACCCTATTCCAATAATCAGTCAATGTGTTTTGGTGGCTGATACCCTATTCCATCGATCAGTCAATGTACCTCGGTGGCTGATGCCCTATTCCATTGATCAGTCAATGTGCTTCGGTGGCTGATGCCCTATTCCATTGTTCAGTCAACGCGTTTTGGTGGCTGATACCCTATTCCATTAATCAGTCAACGTGTTTCGGTGGCTGATACCCTATTCCATTGATCAGTCAATGCATTTCGGTGGCTGAAACCATGTGTCATTCATCAGGGGTTGCAATGCTCAGGTGAAGATAAAAAGACTCAGTTTTGGTTGATAGAAAAACTTCAGCAGTAAGGATTTTAAAGCCCATCTCCAGGCAAACCCTCGCCTTCATTGGGGTCCATCTGCCACTGCTGTTTCCAGGTGTGGGGACTGGTAATCCACCACTAAAGAGGTGGTTTCCCATGATACCCTTTTTGCTGACATCACTGCTCAGACTCCATTACTGAATTCAGAGAGGACCCTACTGTCAGGCAGCCAGTAGGAAGTGTCAACGTCTTCCAGGTAGTGACGTCGCAATCCGAAGAAGAAAGACTCGGGACTGTTGGGTCCAGCTTGGACCAATGTATGTGACATACCTGTGGGATTCTAATGGAAGATGGAAATTATTGTAGTACACACCATTACACCAGTCATCTCCACTGGCTTCTGGATCCTGTGCTGAACGGCTGTCCTACTGCTTAGTGAGCACAGGAGGTCGCCCAGATGACATGGGAGCCATTCAGAGAACAGTTTACATTTTCTAAATGAATGCAAAGTGCTCACTGATTGGATGAGGAGAAGATTGTGATGTCACCCATAGATACACGACACATAGGGCTGCCATTCCGCACAGGAACAGTGAAGACTGAATGGTGTCCATGCCAAGCTAGCAGCCTCCTGTGTTCACAATGCAGCAGGGCAGCGGCTCGGAAAGGGACCTGGAAGCTAGTGGAGATCACCAGCTACAGTGATTCCATTTTCCACTGGGACCCCACAGTTATAACACATACTGTACATACTTACACTGATCCGAGTTGGACCAATGTAACTACATAAAAAGTCACATACCTATATCTCAGAAATACTTATAGGGGGGTAGGGCTGAGGGATGCATGTGGGGTGGTGGCAGACTGGAGTGGGGCTTTAGAAAAACATCTGAATTTGTTGAATTTGACGATGTTTGTAAGGTAGTCACTCTTGATGACTTTTCAACCTTTTTCGTCTGCTCTGTGGCTGGAATTCATTCTGTGGAGTTGGCTAGAATAATCTGCGTTGGTTGCCAGTATTCTAATTTTCCAAATGGCTTTAGATCTGATGTTACAGATTTTTTTTTTTAAGGGACTTGATTAGTTTATGAAACGTAAAAGCTGTTTGTGCCAAATTTCCTGGTTCTGAGACTCCCTCCCCACAAAAAAAGTAAATTTTCAGAAGTCAAAAGTAAATGTACTGTACACAGGGTGTAGTAACTTACTCGGAGATGACCCTCAGTTTTTCTCCAAAGTAAAAGATTGGCTCGCTCACATCCGGCGGAGGATAGTCATAGAGAACAGCTAGAAAATCACTTTCGTTTCCTATGAGATCGAAAAACAAACATAAATACCGCATTGAAGTGTTCCATTAAAGTAGAACTATTGTCAAACGATAAAAATCCCCAGTGTGAGGTAGGCTGCATATATCGGTGTTACTGGCCTCTCTGTTTTCTACGTACCCCTAGGAACCTTTATTAAATACCTCTTGATCTTGCTAGTAGAACCATTGGATGGGTTCTTGCCAAGGGCAGACTGACCATTTGTGAACTCGGGCACTGCCAGAGGGCCCGGGGTCAGTAGGGGGCCCCATGAGATGCCCCCTGGTACCTTTCATAGGTTTTTTTGGGTGTGGTTTGAGTGTGGGCGAGGACACAGGGGCCCCATGATCCCCTATTGCCCAGGGGCCCCATGAGTTGTCAGTCCACCCCTGGTTCTTGCATTAAAAAGGAGACCATGCTATTCCTTCTACAATGAAAGCAGTGCAGAGTTGTCACCCTGCTGCTGCTGTAGCTGCTTACATTTAACGTTCTAGTTTTCCCTAAAAATGGGCTCCCTCCAGGCTTACCTGCCCTCAATCTATCCATTATTATACATGCGCTTCTACTATGGAGGCTTTCAAAAATGATAGATTTAGGAACTGCAGAATACTGGGGTGCCATGACTAGACTCTGCAGCTTACGCATGTATTTGTAAATGTGTACAAACTAAACGTGTTTTTAATGTGAACTGTACACGAGCAGCTCCTAGACTCGAGTTTAGGAGCTTTTGTCATTTTTGTTTTGCCAAAGCTTCTAAACTCAACTCCATAAAAGCCTAGGTGTCCATATATACAAAGGCTTTTAGCAGAGTTTAGGAGCTGCCGTGTTTAGGTGAGGTTAAACCTCCCTCTCCTGAATGGAGCAGAATTGCGTTCAGGATAGGAATGTTTTGACTGCCGACCGCGGACCTCTCTAGCAATACACCAAACTGAGCATGTGCAGAATGTCTCAACATGATATGTCATATCAGGAGATAAGAGGGGGGCACTGGAAGAAGAGGAGGATCAGAGAAGACAGTATCAAACAGCATTTTTACACAATGCACAGAATTAACCCCTTAGGTTCCACAGTGAGTATAACAAGTATGTTTCACTGTATGTACACACTGATTTTATTGTTTATTTATTTATTTCAGGTACTTAAATAGTGCTGTCAATTTACCTATATATTGTGCATTCACATCAGTTCCTAACCGTTAAGGAGCGTACAATGTAAGGTCCCTCTTACATTCATACATACACATACTAGGGTCAATTTAGACAGGATCCAATTAACCTACCAGCATGTCTTTGGATGGTGGGAGGAAACCGGAGTACCCAGAGGAAACCCATGTAGGCACATGGAGAACATGCAAACTCCAGGCAGGTGGTGCGGGTTTAGTAACACTCAGGGGTGGACTGACAACTCATGGGGCCCCCGGGCAATAGGAAATCATGGAGTCCCTGTGTCCTTGCCCACACTCAAACCACATCCAAAAAAGCCTATGAAAGGTACCAGGGGCATCTCATGGGGCCCCCTGCTGACCCCAGGCCCTCGGGCAGTGCCCGGGTGCCCAAATGGTCAGTCCGCCTCTGGTAACACTTTATAGCTCATGTTTAGTAAATGAAAAAAATCAGCACAAGGGACATGACTTACTATTAGTGCAATGTGCCCCTTGTGCTGCTGATTTCTACTTTATCTGAAATCTTCCTTCTTTGACCCCTTCCTTATCCCCGCTGCTGTAATTGTCTGGGGTGGCGGGGGTTAATAGAGCTGAGGGACCTGTCATATGCACTCATCAAAAGTGAAAACTATCCCCGCCATTCAGGGGCGGATTGACAACTCATGGGGCCCCCCATGCAATAGGGGATCATGGGGCCCCTGTGTCCTTGCCCAAAGTAAAAAAAGCCTATGAAAAAGGTACCGAGGCATCTCATGGGGCCCCCTACTGACCCCGGGCCCTCAGGCAGTGCCCGAGTTTCCAAATGGTCAGTCCGCCCCTGCCGCCATTTCTACCACTCTCCTCCAGTCATAGAAGCTGTTCTATAGTTTCTATCAATGAAAAGTGCTCCATGAATGGAGGCTGGGCAGATGAATGAAAGGTCTACCACCTCCATTCATGGATCATTTTTCAGTCATAGAAGCTTGTGCTTCTGATTCATATAGCTTGCACTTCTATGGCTGCTCAGAATTTGGGTACCCAACCCACTCTATACCCCTAGAACAGACCCTGTTAGTCTCTCAGAATTCCTGGGCTTGGGTTCTAACCCCTTATACAGTCTCAGATTTTTGTAAAGGCTTCTTGATTCGGCTGGAGATATTTTTTATTATCATGCAAGAATGTTAGCACTAGTTTTTTGATATTCATGCACTGACCTGTTTCAGACTGAGTGATTTTTGCTGGCGAAGGATTGTTTTTTTAATGGTGTTTCCCATTTCTGTTTTTTTCTAAAGTTGTATATCCTGTACAGGAAATAAAAAAAAGAAAAAAAAAGGTTAAAGTGACATTAAATGATATCCCAATGCTCCCAAAAAAATCCATACACATGCGCTATTTATTAGTACTGTAATCTATTTTTCATGAAATTGTTTCTTATTATGTCTTTGTAATGCCCTCTGAAAGTTCCCAAACCTCCTTTTCATACACACATCTATTTGTTTGGAACGAGCAGTGCCCATTAGTTATTTATTTATTACAGGTACTTATATAGCACCATCAATGAATGTAGAGCTTTACATATACAGTATATTGTATATTCACATCAGTCCCTGCTCTCAAGGAGCTTACAATCTAAGGTCCCTAACTCACATTCATTCATACACATACTAGGGCCAATCAAGACAGGAGCCAACTAACCTACCATCATGTCTTTGCAGTGTGGGAGGAAACTGGAGGGAACCCACACAGGCACAGGGAGAGAACATGCAAACTCCAGGAAGATGGTGCCGTGGTTGGGATTGGAACCAATGACCCTAGTACTGCCAGGTGGAAGAACAGCTGTAGTCATGTATACTACTCTCTGCACACTACAAATCCCATAGTCCAGAGTTCATTTTGGGAGTGAGCAAGAGAGGGTGGCTACATTCCTACATACAGTGGGACCAGGGGCGGACTGACAACTCATGGGGCCCCCGGGCAATAGGGGATCATGGGGCCCCTGTGTCCTTGCCCAAACTGAAAAAAGCCTATGAAAAAGGTACCAGGGGCATTTCATGGGGCCCCCTACTGTGCCCGAGTTTCCAAATGGTCAGTCCGGCCCTGAGTGGGACCATGGGGAATGAACATAGCCACCCTCTAACAGGAAGATCAGATCACAGCAGCAAACATCTGGGGATATGGAGAAGATTGGCAGCAATAGAAAGGACTTTTTTGAGGTTTTTTTTTACAAATCAGGTACTTACCAATGCCGGGGGTCCAGTGCTGTCTTCCCACAACCAATTCTTCTTACTGTTGCGGGTCCCCAGTGCTGCCATCTTGGAGAGGGGAGCTGGATGTGTCTTCCTGAGGATCCAGAACCAGCTCACCACCGTGTGAGGTCCTACTACCTTCTGGGACATGTGACATATCCCAGGAGGCACTGGGAAAGGGGGGGGGGGGGGGGGGTAAGGGACATCATTTATGCCTAGGCAAGAATTTCAGAAGTGGTACAGAATAAAATTTGTATTTGCTCCTCCCCTCCACCCAAGAAAACCTGAAACTCAGCTACAGGAAGAGAGTGATCCAGCAGGACTATTGAGTGAAGTTCCACTTTAACAATACATACTTGAGTAGAATTTTTTTTAGTGTCGCTTTAAGAAAGTAATGAGCAGAGAGGCTTCAATGTATCCAAAGAATTGTTCTTTATAGTTTTTAATATAACGTGCAAAATTAATTGAAGTCAATAGGGAAGGTTGAAGTAGTGGGGTTTTTGGTGGTGTAGTGGGGGTTTTGGTGGTTGTTCAGTGGGCTCTAACTGGATTATAATCTGGCTGCTTCTGGATTCCTTGTTCCCTTTATTGCTCATTTGATATTTTCGCAATGATTTCCTGTCCAATGATTCTTTAATTTTATTACCACCTAATGGTGTTTTGTTGTCCCTAGTGGCCATTACCATGGAGCAGTAGGGGACACAGCAAAGGGACAAAAAGGCACCTACTCTGTATGGCCAAATCAGGGGCGGGCTGACCATTTGGAAACTCGGGCACTGCCCAAGGGCCCGGGGTCAGTAGGGGGCCCCATGAGATGCCCCTGGTACCTTTTTCATAGGCTTTTTTGAGTTTGGGCAAGGACACAGGGGCCCAATGATCCCCTATTGCCCGGGGGCCCCATGAGTTGTCAGTCCGCCCCTGGGCCAAATGCATATGTTTTTTGAGTTCAAGCATTCACAATGAAGTATACTGGTAATGCCACAGCATACAAAGACATTAAGGACAATCACGTGCTTCCAACCTTGTGCCAGCAGTCTGATGAAGTCCTTTTCAGTTCCAGCATGTTCTAGCCCCATATAGACATGGTTTGATTGGTTTGGTGTGAATAACTCCCAACTGTCCCTAATTTCAAGGAACTGTCCCTCATTTAGGACAAAGTCCCTCTGTCCCTCTTTCCTGTTATTGTCCCTCATATTGGTCTGATATATATACACATGTATTAAAAATGCACTATTTATCTATCAAAAAGAGTTTTAAGGCGATAAACCATTCATCCATTTTCTAAATGGTTGCATCTGTAAATTTTTAAAGCCAATATAAAGGAAAAGCAGCAGTAAAAAAAAATGCACTTGTGAGTTTAACCAATCATTTTTTGTGTATTAATTCTCCTTGTAAGGGGGCATGGCAGGGGGTGTGTCCTATGAATACATAGTTTTGCTTATAAGTGTTCCTCATTCCCAGAAAGTTGGGAGGTATGTGGTGTGGAGAAACTCATGTGGCCTTCACAGAGCCCTGAGGAGCTGGGATCAATTTGAATTGAACATCAGTACCTGACCTCATAAATGCTCTTTTGGCTGAATGATCACAAAATCCTTCAGACCCATTACCAAATCTTGTAGAAAGCCTTCCCAGAAGAGTGGAGGCTGTTATATCCACAAAGAGGGGGAAACCCCAAATTAATGTCTGTGGTTTTGGAATGGGAACAGTGTATCTTGGTTTTGATACAAGTCTAGGGACTTCTACCCATGCAGATGTAAATGTTCTTAGTAGCTCTGTCATATAACTTATATATTTGTCCTTAAACACACAGTTTAAAAATAGGATTTGTGTCTGTGGTGACTTAAAAGTAGAGAACTAAAATGAAAGAGTTGAGGTTACAAGAAACCAGTGATATGTACGTGTTAGCACAGCATGGACTCTTTATGGAAGTGTATTTACGTCAACTATATGTACTTTGTGGCTTTCACCTTGAAGGCTCTTCCTTTTCCTAAGACCATACAGCTATGTTGGGCCTCAGGCAATGCTCACCTGGGTTCCAGCCACCAAAAAAATGTTTAGAGCAGGTTAGACAAAGTAATCTGTTCCTAAAGGCAAAACAAATTCTTCCATACTGAGATTGCCATGCATCCCTGTTAGAACGGTAGAGTTTGAGTCTTTTAACCATTTTCCACTTTTTTAAAGACAGAGTGTCTAGTTTGAGCATGTGGATTTCCCTATGTTGAGTGTAACTGAGGGTCTCAACTCTCAGTTTGGCTGCTAAGTTCTGCTCTGTTTCAGCAACATAGGCATTGTGTGAATGAAACCTGCAAATGCTTTTTGCAGGCTTTAATCATAAATACATTGTTAAAAAAGACTTGTCCTTTGATCTTTCTTTTAGGGCTTGCTTACATTAGTGGCAGTCCTTTAAAAAGTGATCCGCAGGGGAGTTGTGAAGAGTCATAACACCTAAAAGCCTGTATTGCACAGTTGCTAGGCCATTGTAACGTAGCCATATTCACTGAAATGAGTTGCATTTGGTTGGCGGTACTGCTCCATGAATGCAGCATCTGTACACTCGCTACCTTTGTAGCATAGTGGGGTTGATAAAAACACAGCGTAAACTTGGCCTTTCCTTTTTAACCCCTTATTAACATCTTTCTCCTCTTGGCTTATTTTTTGCAGAGTTTTATTTTTAAATGCACATTATTGCTGTTCACGCAACACATGTATACGGCAGCAGGGCAGGTGGCCTTGGAGCTCCAAGGTTCGGTGCTGAGCGCTCACTCCCAGCATGCTAAATTTACTGTCACAAAGAGCTTCTGCGATTGGACGGGCTCCTTACCATGCGACTACTTTGACAGCCAGTCATAGTGATCATGAGATCAGGAATCCATCTCTGCCTCTCTGGTATTAACAACCACTTAAAGGGCCCCTAAGAGGCAGTGTCAGGGATGCGGGTATGACCAGAAGTGTGTGGACTGACACAGGGAAACGCAGGCTTCAGATATAGTAAATAATATAATTTATTAAGACTAACAATACAAACGCATTGCAAAACTAAACATAAACACAGTGCAAACAAACTGAACCAAACCTCCAACAGATAACAAACATACAATACAAGAGTAGTCAGACAGGCCGGGTCGGTAGCAAACGGAGTACCAGGAGCAGGCGGGAGAGTGGTCAGGACTAGCCAAGGTCAGTACAGGCAGAGTTCAAGCAGAGTCAGGACAGAAGTAACAGGATCAGGAAACCAGGGCCAAGCAAACAGTACAACAAGGCACTAACTGCAGGTCTGGCCATCCCTTAAATACACCACCTGCAATCAGCCCCAGGTGATGGCTAATTGCCGGAGTGAGCCTCTGGTTGTTGAGAGCACCCGCTGGCCAGTCCTGGTACTGCAACCCACAAGACAGGTGAGTCCCACCACTATTGGCGAGTCCATTCCTGACAGGCAGCAGGAAGGAATTAAAAACTTGATTTCATTTCTAAATAACTTCACCATGCTTTGTACCAGTAACGTAATTTTGGTTATTCTATAAAAATAAACACATTTGCAACCGGTGACTGAGGAGTTGTAAGCTACTTTATGCACCGTATACACGTTTAGAATATCAGACGTATGATGTCTGTTTTTTTCTACATGCTAGTCTCCTATCAAAAGTGAAGCGGATTTACAAAAATTCTTTAACGAAGGAAAATTCTGAAGAATGTAATGTATTTGTATTGTATTTTCCGATGACTACTGTACTGGTTAAACAAAAACCATACAATCCGGTATCATATGATAAAAATTTTTGTGCTTGTCCCTTCTATTTTTTTTTCCGAGGATTGCTGTGTACTAACGATCAGATTATCAAACAATGGCTTTAAAAGTGGCATTTTTCATACAATATTCTGATCGTGTATACAGGGCTTTAGTTTCAAGACTTAAGACAAAAATGGCATTTTGCTACCAAATACCCTGCTCTGTTATACCATGCTCACATGCCCATTACGATTAAACCACAATGGTTTAACCAGTACCAATTGAGCCATGCCCACTTTAG